ACGATGCTGCAAACAGAAGGGGGCACTTGCTCCAGACAAGGACGCCTTGAGGCACATACAGACAACTTGCTGCACACGGGAACAACTTGACGGACTCCCGAACAAGTTGGGGCACGGACGGAGCAGCTGATGTACACTCAGAGAGACCGTTTCAGTGAACTTGTTCTCCGCTGTCTTGTCTGTCTTCTATTCCACACACATACAACTGGGGGACATAACAACAGGGATTAATGAAAAAAAGGCTAGTACTTACGCGATGAATTACTGGGAATAGGTCCGCAGCCAAAATCATTCGATAGATATTGAGCACTTTGTGCAGGGTTTGGACACTGCTCTTGACGTCTTCAGCGCCATTCTCAGAATCCTCGTCTAATTCTTCACCTTCATCCTCATCAGCCTCAATGACCTCACCCTCTTCACCCTCCTCGGGTTGGCCAGAGGAGGGGGACTTGGGTGCTTTTCGCGTCGGTAGCGGTGCGGGAGGTTTCTTCTGGGCCACTGGAGTCATAGTTGGCACCTCAACTGTGGCCTTTTCACAGGACTGCCAGTGTTCAACCTCGGCATCCATCAGCAGTTTTATAAGGAACTCGCATAGAGGAGCAATCAGGTGGTCCGCATTAAGGTCCTCTGCCTTGTCCCGGATGAACCTCAACAGAAAATCGGCTTGAGATGTCGCGTCGGAAAAAGACTCCCAGCAAAATCGGGTAATGAAATCGTGCTGAAGGCGGTTTGGAAGGGCCATGAACAATTCTGTAAAGTGAAAAGATATGGAAATCGGAAAGCTATGAGTCTGGCTTCACAAACCAACACATCTGACTATGTACTTTCTTCGGCTCGTTTAAATTAACTCTGTTCGTCTTAGAAGTGACAGGTAAACATCATCGTCACAAAAAGAGCATGAACTAGCGTGCGGAACTGACAGCAAAAATTTGAAAGCAAGTAAGACCTTGGATAGTCTTAAGACGTAAAGATTTGGCTAATGTACCATAAGGTGAAAACAACCTTTAATAAATTTGAAGCATAGTTTTCCCGGTGAGAACTTGAAAATAGTAATGCAAA